TCCTATTGCTCTAAAGGCAGGAGGTGAGGAAGCTCCTATTGCTCTAAAGGCAGGAGGTGAGGAAGCTCCTATTGCTCTAAAGGCAGGAGGTGAGGAAACTCCTATTGCTGGAAAGGCAGGATATGGAGGAAGCACCTATTTCTCTAAAGGCAGGAGGTGAGGAAGCATCTATTGCTGGAAAAGCTGGAGATGGAAGGGACAGGTATTGCTGGAGAGGCAGGAGGTGAGGAAGCTCCTATTGCTGGAAAGGCAGGAGATGGGGAAGCACCTATTGCTGGAAAGGCAGGAGATGGGGAAGCACCTCTTGCTGGAAAGGCAGGAGATGGGGAAGCACCTCTTGCACCTCCGGCACCGCCTGCTGAGCTCTGAGAGTAACTTCAGAGATTTGAGTGCAAAACATTCAAGCTTTGGAGCGACAAAAGGCAGAGCTGAGTAAGGCAGAGGGGGCTGAGGGAAGTGGTGAGACACGATGGAAGAGGAGGGGAGAAGGCAGGGAGGAGGTGCAGCGAGATCCTCAGAAACATTGGCACTTGTGTGTGGGGAGCACCTGCAGAGCCAACGCTGCCGGGGGAGAGCTCCAAGGAAGCAGATGTTTTTTTAGGGAGTGGGGAGCCAGTGTGGGATTCTCGTGTGAGATTTTGGCTCTGCTCCTCCCCCTTATTAATGCCCACTTGAGCTACACCTGCCCCTCCTCCCAGCCCTCATTCCCGTGCCGTGCTGCTTTTCCAAGGCTGGACTGCATTCCAGCTGCCCACAACTCCTCCCTGCCTGCCTTCAGCTCAAAGGAAGAGCTTCTCTGGGCACTCAGAAAGGGAATGTGGTGCTCAGGCCATGGGATCCGATCCTACAGGCAGAGAAATATTTCTGGGACTTTCTAAAACGGGAGAAACATCTTCCTTCTGAGCCTCACGTCTCATCCCAGAAACACAAAGGGAGGAGGAACATAAAGACAAGAGGAACAGATAGAGAAGTGCAGACCCTCAGATTATTCCATATGAGGGGCCAAGGCAGGCAGGAATTGGAAGTTCATGGCTGGTACCTTTCCAGGTACCAAATCCTCCCCCTCCTATGATGGTTTAATTAGACAGGACCAAACCTCCTTCTCTCCTGACCCAATACTGTCTTTATCCAGCTGTATTTTGTCTTGGAATATTTGGCCTGCTCTTCCTCCCCATGTCATCTCCTAAACTCTCTGCCTCCCACGTCCCATGAGCTTCCTGTGCAGAATTCCTGCCAAGGACCCAAAGTACCTGCACACAGGGGTGGGAAGGCTCTGCATGTAAAAATAAACTGACTTTTTTGGATGAGCGGGAAAACAGAAGAGAAACCTGTCCCCAGATGGGTCGTGTGGAAATGAGAATTGGATTTCAGAGCCTTTTTGGGTAGGAAACTGCTACTGTCCTATGGCAAAAGGCACAGTTTTTCAAAGTCATGGCATACATGGAAGTAAGGAGAGAAGAGTATGGAGGTTTTAAAAGAATCCAGTAACTTTGGGAGATACAGAAGAGGGAGAAGATGCCTTACATGCCAAGACAGCTCAAATCCCACACCAACCAACCCTCCACCACTTCTCTAGACAAAATCCTGGCAGGATGAGAGATGGAGCAACATCCTCTCTATCCTCTTCCACAGCACCTCTGAACTCAAATCTGTGCTGGATTCTCATTAAACCACATAAATCAGAGCCCTTTGGATGGTCACACCATGGTCAGCAGCTGGAAGCACTGGGCTCCCAGCAGAGCTGGGCCCAAGAGATCCAACACTGGCATGTGGATGTGATCCAACTGGAGCGGTGCTTGGCACTAACAGTGGCTGGAAGGGGGTCTGCCAGGATTCCAGGAATGTCAGCTGGGACAGGGAGTGTTTGGTGGGAGCCTGATCCCACAGGATGTCATGCAGAGGTGGCCAGATGGTCAGACATCCATGAGCTTTGGTCCAGTGGCATTTTCCTGTTGGGTTGGGAAAGACAACACAGAGCCAACGGTGGGGAAAGCCGTGGAGAGCAATTCCCACGGGATACTGAGTAGAAAACTGAGCTGTGGTTTATACACAAAGGAATCCCCTCGAGGCACAGCCAGGCTGGGGATGGGTTGGGTGGGAAGCAGGAAGATCTCCTGGAGCCCTCACGGTGCACAAACCATCACTTTTCCATGCTGCAAGCTGAGTTTTGAGGAGCTGAGGCAGCATCACCACTCTGCACCCACGGAGTGAAGGAGCCAACACAGCTCATGGTCAGGCAGTGACATTGGATCAAGTCCTTTATGGCCTCCAACTCCACTGTTGTCCCTTTGTGTAGCACCTCCCAGCAGTCAGGAACTGGCACAAAATGGAGCTGGCTCTTCAGACACAGACCCTTCATTCTGGGGGGTAAATGGGGCAGGAAGGGGAGGAGGCATCCAACAACAGCCCTGTTCTGCAGTCACTAATGTCCTGGGAGAGCTTTCCCGGGTTTAGACATCCCCACTGTCCTCAATCAGTTCAACATCATCCTCCAGCCAGGGGACACCACTTCAGAAGAGAGATGAGGAAGAGTGTGGGCAGAAGAGCAGCAGCAGCAGCAGGATGAAGCCATGGGCAAGGTGGTTTCCAGCTCTCAAATGTCCATGGGCCACTTAAAGCACTGGCAGGGTGAGCGCCCGAGAAGGTGGCACTTGGTCACAAGGACAGGAACCTAAGGTGGCATCTGCCTCAGGTGGAGGGCTCTGCTCCTCCCCATAGGGTGCACGACTGCCCATCATCCACCCTACAGTTCCCTGGAGCCAGAGCTGGGAGAAGCTTGGGCTGGGAAGGAGCAGACAACCTTTCCCGCTAAACTCTGCGAACGGAAGCCACTGGAGCCCTCTTGGAAGAGGAGGGGGGAGTGCAGGGATGTTTGCAGCGTGGTTACTGGAGAAGTGCTCTAGGCGAGTGCTGCTGGTCTCTGGGCAGAGGTTACTTGGTGTTGCCTTCCCCCAGTGGGATCTGGAGGAGCGTGGGAGACTGTTCCATGATGCGAACCAGCAGCTGGTCGATGTAGTTCTCCAGTTCATGGATGTGCTCCTCCTTCTTGCTCAGCTCCATCTCCCTCTGCAGCAGGAGCTGGATGAGCTCGTCGTGGGTCAAGTGGTAATACTTGGCTGACTGGTCCAGCACGGTGGGATCCTGTGGTAGAAAACAAGAGGAACATCCAATGAGTCAAATTAACATCGCTGCTCCCTTTAATGTTTGCAGGGTGCAGCGACAACCAGAGCAATCCTATTTTTGTGTCTGCCTTCTTTCCAAATCTGGAAAGGCTGGAGCATCACAGGGAAGCAGGACCCACCCAGACCTCACCTCAGAAAAGCTGAGATGCTCATAACCCACAACCTGAACCACCTGTGGCACCACAAAGGGTGCAGCAGGGTTGTCCTGGTCTAGTGGAAGGTGTCCCTTCCCCTGGTAGGAGGTTGGAACAAGATGGTCTTTTAGGTCCATTCCAACCCAAACCATTCCATGGTTCTATAACCAGGGATTCACTCACACACTGCACAAAAAAAAAAAACCAAACCAAAGCAAGCAACGGGAGAACAACGACGGGGTGAGAAGGTCCAGAGACCAGGTCACGGAGGAAGGGAGGCTGGTGGCAGTCTGACATCCACCCTGAGCAACCAGGATCCAGGATTAATACTCACCCTGTGGCAGGACCCTGTCCTACCTCCTCCAACACCAGTTCTTTGCCCCTGTGCCCCCAGCTGTGGGACACCTGGAGCAGGTGTGGGCGCAGCTCTCACCTCTGAGGCGGAGGGTTCCTACCTTTAACTTCTTGGAGTCCGTTTTCTCCGGGTGGGAGGTCGGGGCCACAGGCTGGACACTGCTCGTGGTGGCTGTCCTCAGCTTCTCCAGGCCATTGCTCAGTGCTGAGGTCAGGCTGGACCTGTGCTGCTGCTTCTTCTCAGTAGAAACCTCCTGCACCGCGGCGCTGATGGGCTTCACCGGGTGGGGACTGGGGAGGACAAGGTAGGACAGTTATAACACCCTCCCGAGCTGGGGAGCGACACTGCTGTCCCTCCCTGTGGATTTTACAGGGATGGAACCCACTTGGAAACTTTGGACACACCTAAATCCTGGGGCTGTGTTGCCCAAAGCTCTCCTGCTCCGAGGAGAGCGAGGAGAAGCAGCGCCTTGGGGAGCAGGCAGCCCATGGAGCCATTTCCACCCAGAGAGGAGAACAGGAGCCCCAGGACACGTGTTTGGCTGAGACACAGACCAGGCCCTGTGTCCACACTGTGCTCACTCCACACTGGGAATGCTGTGGGTCAAAACTCCCACAGCCTGCCGGGTGTTGGTGCCCGTGGGAAGATCAAACTCAGGTGCAGTGTGATCAGAGGATGCCCAGAAGGGCATTTTTTTGTCCAGCAGCCCCCAAAATTAGAGTGGGGGGTCACCACTGATGCTTCAGGGATGCTCCAGCCCAAGAGTTGGGCTCCACCTGCCTGGAAGCCACCACAGAATTTGTCCCTCTCCACTGAGCCAAAAGGTAGAGTGAGAAGTCAGTTAAGGGGGAATTAACATTTTCATTTATTTTTGCCTCACTCTTCACCCAAAAGGTTTTTTTTCTGGGCTTAAACAAAGTCTGTTTGCTTTTCAGCAGGATGGAAAGAGAAGTGACCTGATTCTACCTCTCTGCAAGGAACAGGGCATCAACCCTGGGATGAAAAGATCCAAGGAA